GACTTTCGCTTTCCTAAATTTTAAGAATACATTTCCTAGTCAAATTATTAGTACAATGTTTACCTAGCCCAGAGTTTTGACCGAATTCTATTAATTAAGTTGCATTATTCCTACTAGTCAATATCGCACTCATTATACCTTGGTGTAAGATGGTTGTTTTTAGTAATTGGCATAAAGTTCTGAATAACTTAGGTTCCGTGCTATTGGGTGACTTGTCAATAAGGTGTAACTGGAATCCTGCATTATTAGAACGTGAATACGGTTCACAAATAGAAAGGTTACCAGTGATCTGTTTGGACCAAAAAGTATCATTCATATAGCTGAAATGTTCATAGTGATGGGATTTCATTTAATCACTCAGACTAGTGGCCATAATGCGGTTAGACACATAGAATTCTGTCATCACTAAGAATTAGATTATTAAAAAATGGACTACAACTTATTGATCAGGCAATGCAATTATTGTAATGTTTTGTACCAGACAAAGTACAAGTATTTATGAACAACATACACAACATACTCAATATTCGTTGACCGGATACCATCAGTAACAACCTACTGTGGGAGAAAACAAACAAGCTCCCTGATGAAGAGGAAATTAGGAAATGACGCTTCAAATGGATAGTACATACACTGCGGAAATCATCAAACTTCAACAAGAGGCGAGCCCTAACTTGGAATTCTGAAGGGAAACGGAAAAGAGGAAAACCAAAGAACACATTGGTTCAAGAATCGTAAGCAGACATCAGAAGTATGAATAGTAACTTGAAAGAATTATTCAGGGCAGAGTTGAATGGAGAATACAGGTGGGCAGTCTATGCTCGTTCATGAGAAGTAATAGGTGCAATTAAGTAGATAAGTTTGCACTGATCATTACAACGTACACGTACACATAACGAGAGGGATTTAAACCATTAGCAAAAATTTGACCTTATAAATAGCATAAAGAAATTTACGATTTTCCGTCAATTGTGCTTATTCTATAGTTAGGTGTTATAACTTGTGGCCTGTGTGTCCTATTAATGTATAACGTACTGATACCGTCAATTAGAGAGCAGTGAATTATGGATCGGACCAATGACGCATAAAACCCGTGCGAGCAGACTAGAGTACTTATCGGTCCTACTTCCTGCCTAGCCCAGCCAGTTAAGTACAGAACACCAATCTTAGCCTCCGCAATATGAATCATGTATTTCAAACATACTGGGTTTATATACTAACCACACAGATCACATCGTACTGTAAAATGGAAAATAACATTTGTACAAGAATTAGCCAAATGTGGCCGTGAATATGGGAGATAGTAATTAACAGACAGGGCATAACTCAAGAAAGGTAAATTGTATAATAATAGTTCACAGGTCAAAATAAAGCTTATAATAAGAGGGGGATGAATAGTATTCAATAAGTATACGATTAAAAAATATACGCATAGTATTGGTACATAAATGGATCCCAAAAGTTACCATTCATTACGCTTATCGGGGCATAACACTAGGGTTGATAAAGAGCGATAATATTATCTATATAATGTTCACAGAACGCAGACTGATTTACAGAAATGACCAGGGAACAACTGAAATAAGTATGGATATCTTATTTAAAAAGACATAATTCATAAATTATTTCAACTGAACATTTTTACAGAGTTGTTAAAAATGAGGCGGAACGTGCAAACGAAATCCATCAGTCAGTCAGTCAGGAACAACGTAGAACTTCGTACGTATGTACGTACATCAGTTCGAGTTGCCATACCACATTAGCACAGAGTTACAATTGTCGATTCAAATCTTATAGTGGTAAAGGTAGTAAAAATATAAACAGTAATCGGAAAGATTAGGGTTTGAAGATGTTATTCAAAGAGTATAATCCAGTGAAATAAATTTGGAAAGAGACAGAAAGGAGATGTAAAGAATTCAGAAGATTAGAATTCGGGAGATCACAAAGAGTGGAAGCACCTGTGCCATTGGAAACGATTTTGAGCCATGTCATTCAATGTCTCTAACCATCAGGTAGTTTACGCCTACCAACATGGCTCAGTGCATTTGTCAATGTTTTCATCGATTTGTGCCATATTTTGGTAAGTGAAATCCATAGTCAAAGGTGACATCGTTTTTTCAACAAATCCCCCAACTATAGAGCTATCTTTAATAAACCATATGTGAAAAACATGATTATACTAGGAAGGTAGCACAGCTGCAAAGTTATGTTCATTTTCGAATGATAGATGTCAAGTTTTTGCCCTAGAATATACATTAAACAATTTATCCACTTGTCGTACAGCTCACTGTTTCACAGAACCTTCACATTTAATATTAACCAGTTGGCAACTATTTTCACTGTTTAACAGCATAGTGTATTGAAAGATGGGATGACATGTTCAATTTTTTGGGAAAATATCTGAATTTATTGAAGTACCAATAATGTAGGTCATGTAATTCAACTAGACTATCGAATGATACTCACACATAGAAAAGATTTTTCAATCCTCGCTGGCCATAGAATGTCGCACTCATAATCTGCTATTTTCTTGGCGAGAAGATAGAGACGTCAAATTTATGAAGAATTAAAATAAATAGCGTGATCTTAGTTCATTTATGAAATTTACAAAGGATCTATGACGTGAAATTAGAGAACGAAATCAAAGAGGATTGATGATCCTAATAAAGTCACTTCGCTTGTTCTTTTGACTGATGGAGTAAACGATGCAGGTTTACGTAACCGACTTTGAGAAACACTTTGTATAAGGGATAATGTTACCGAAGTAATGTGATTGAGACTCAGATCTACTACTTACAAATTGAAAGTCTAGAGGTCAACTCACTGGATTACAACACAAAAATTCTAAACAAATCGACCTTATCTCAGAAGATGAAAGCCAACTAGATTGCCCCTGTAGCGGTAAATAAATCCCGAAAATCAATAAATCCGTAACTTCGACATTTGATGCTGACCACATTAGTTTTAATGAACCCACCTAGCTGAAAGCGCTCGGTCACGCATCCGCACAAGTGGGAACGCTGTGCTCAACTTCTCCTGCAACCGCTAGCCAGTATACATCAGTCACTCCTCGATATATTGATAACCTTTCAAATATTATGTTCGAATCTATTCGCTGCTGACTTTTGATTTTACTAGGTAGGCACGATTCAATCATAGAAAGTATTACTGGTTAGAATGTTGTCAAACTACAAATACTTGTGGTATCTTCACCTCCAGACCTTTAATTCCTCAATTCAATCTTATAATGCATCTATGACATGCAAAACTGATGAATATCTCGCATAGACGAAAATATTGGCTTTGAAATTATTTAATTTTCATTAGATTATTATAAATCTCAATCATAATGTAAGCTTTAATTACACTGATTATAAAATTATAAACATTCTATAGAATACGTGTTTCTAAACAATGAATCGAATAAATCATTATAAATTATTGACAAAAATTAACTGTTAGACTACACTAAATTTGTATACTTAAAACCCAAATGACCTGGATAATCTTTAAGAACTTATCTCACCTCTCCCCCCAGTGTAATCGTATATAATTGTTTTCGGAACTGTTCAACATTCGATGTATTCATCATTAGTATTGGATAGTCTGTCAATCAATAAGCAATTCCTAAAAGCGTTAATAGGGTGTATGATTCGTTTCTAAAATTGTGGTGTCTGAACTGGATTTAAAATTAATATCATGTCTGAGTGAAAAGTTCGAGGGAGAGGGTGGCGACAGTCACCTACCTCTCCCTTTCCAAATGCTCCCACATGGCCAAGTGCATACAACCACTGTCAGGGAACTCCTCCTCACTGTTGTCTCATGTAATTACTGTCGTTTACGAAATTGAGAGGATGGAAAGCGAATGCTCGGCGCTTTAACCGAGTTGGTGGATATGGAGGATCCACCTAGAGCAGTTGGAAAACCCTAATTTCAAACCAATGGTGCAAATGAAATCCAGGATCCTGAAGGAACAAATCACGTATGAACCAATCGTTGGTTACCTGTTACCATCGAACTGCATCTTTTGGTGTTTTTCCACTGCCTTGTGGATCAGACCTTTAGGTTGAAGACTCGGGGTGTGGTCCCCTCAGAAAACCACTTGCTTCGGTTTGGGCACCCGGACAGCATCTCAGCCCACACACACAAATCAAGTGACTTGTTTAGCACATATGTATTCGGTGCCTCGTTGTACTTAAGTGTTCCATTAAATATATAAAATAAACTGATAATGGAGCTTAAGGCCAAGAAATTTATTCTGAAGTATATTCATGTAAATGATTTCTTCATAAAGGAATTGTGAATTTCTCATTCATGTTCAAAACACTATTTCGATTCAGAAAATGAGATGTTCTATCACCAATTTCTGATGCTCAAAATTAAAAAACTTTTCACTCAGACGTGATATTAATTTTAAATTGAGTTCAAATACCACAATTTTAAAAACGACTCATACACCCTATTAAAGCTTTTAGGAATTACTTGTTAATTAACAGGCTATCCAGTACTAATGATGAATATATCGAATGTTGAACAGTTCCGGAAACAATTATATACGATTACACTGGGGGGAGAGGTATGATAACTTCTTAAAGATTATCCAGTGATATTGTGAATGACAAATTTACGTGAGAAGTATTACAATAGGTTGACACAAGAAGATAAATTCATGTGATCAAAGCGGTTACTTCTCAATTTCATTGAGTTTAGTAATTCAATCTTGATATACAGTAAATGTCGTTCAAATCTTTTTAACCAGTTGGAATCATCTGAACACAATCAAATCGAGTAACTGCCCTCTTCTTTCTTTATACTAAGTTCAATCACTGATTTTAGTAGAGGAATTTTATGGAGATACTTCAATGTGTAGATTATACCACAACCATATCATAGGTAGACAATCGATACCATGACACACTCGACAACTACAAGACGCACCCTTGACCCTGGTATGAACCGAACTTCAAAAAAAAGCACTGAGGGAAAAGAAAATCACATTTATCACAACAATAAAATTTCCGCTTCATTAATAATTATTATAACACTATGACAATAACATTTTACACACACATATGTGTGTATAAGTGCATTCATACATGTATGAATAGTGTGATCCGATGAAATGAATTAGATGCATAAAAGAGACGATAAGTTAAAGATCATGAAACTAAATCAAATAAAGCAAATCAGATTAGAACAAAGTAATGATAAACGTCCATATATATTGAAAAGCAATTGTTCATCATCATATTTATTAGTAAAGTAGTCAACGAATCACAATATATCAATACGTAAACAATGATTAGTACATTGACTAATGATCCTAGAGACAAGCAAATGAATACACATACATACATACATACATACATACATACATACATGTATATGCAAACTGTTAGTGATACTCGTTGATAAAATAGAGAACTAATCGAATGATTAATCCTCTATTAGTAACAATATATAAGCGTTTTATGAATGTGATGTAGTTTGTCCATGAGAACAAGAAGGAAATGTTTGGGGGAATATAATTTTGAAAAAGTTGAACAAGCACATGAATATGACTCTAAAAGAAGATATATTATTATAAGAAAATATACAAGTAATGACAAAGCCAATGATAATAGCAGAAAAAAAGAAGAGCTAGTGATAACGTGAGAAGTGAAAGTGAAAGAGAATATAAGCACCACCAGGTTATTTGACAATATCTCCAATCTATCTGATATAATCAACAGCGACAATCATATTACGTAATAATTAATTGATTTTATAAATTTATTACTTCAGATATTACGTAATTTTCCAAGTCTACAGTTACGATCAATGACTTTTTCTTGAAGAAACATATGTAAACATTTTTCATTTTGAGCTAATGGATGTCCAGCAACCCTTGAAAGAAATGGAGAGATAAAAAACGAACAAAACTTAGTCAAATTATAAAAACACACGAAATAAGAAAGTATATAATATTAGGAAAATGAAACAAATTATACACAAACAACTGGAATTCATATAACTTCAGAAGAAACCCACTCATTACTACTGACAAATGTATGCATAGTTTACACATACTTTGTCCTCAAATGCCCTGGTACGACCGAGATTTGAGAGAGTTAGCTCACTCTCTAGAAATCCTCTCACATAGCCACGTGCATACAACCACTGCCACACAAGTACTACTCACTGCATTCTCATAAGATTACTGTTGTTTACGAAATTGAGAGGACGAAAAGTGAATGTCCGGCGCTTTAACTGGGTTAGTGAATATGGAGGATCCACTAATGGGAGTTGGAAAACCCTCATTCCGAACCAATGGTGCACATGGGCTCCGGTATTCTGAATGAAAAAATGGCGTATAAACCTATTGTTGGTCACTGGCTACAATGGGACTGCATCTCCTGACGTTGCTTCACTGTCTTGTGGATCATACTTTTAGGTCGAAGGCCCGGGTGTGTTCCCCTAAGAAAACCACCTGCTTCGGTTTGGGTACCCGGACAGTATCCCACACAAACCGAATGATTTATGTGGCGCATGTCTGTTTGGTACCTACTTGTACCAATGTTTATGTATTTAAATAAATAAATTACACATACTTTAGCACATGTGGACATGATACACGTTACTTTATGTATAACGGTGAAAATTTATTAGGTTCAGCACGAGCTTGATTTTGGGAACGGGTAAGTCAAACTAAACCACATCACATCAGTTAGCAACTTGGACAGATGCTTATTCATGCCAGGTCCTACTTATATCTGACTAAATTATAAAATGGAATTGAATGACACAATTGTAAGCGAGTGTACGTTTTCAATCAAAATTTAGCCAAATATTAAATATTTAGTGTCAAATAAACCGATATAAAAAGTTTCAGTGTAAACATTAAGACTCGGTTAGCTACCTCAAAAAGGATAAGAAATTATTATTTTACTGGATAGGACTTTCAGTATATTAGGAAGTTATTGGGTTGTATAATATGAGGAACGGTAACATAGATACACTATTATAAACCTATTTAAATATTCGTTTATATTATTGAGGTCACGAACCGATTTAACTTGGACAAATATTGAGAACCCGTAGGCACTGAATAGCCGTTTCGTCCTAGTGTATGACTTCGCAGCAGTGTGCATCCACAACCGCACAGCCAGAAATCGAGTGCAGGATACTCAGTCTTGCAAATGAACGCCAGTATCCAACGATGTTAATGTCTAAATTCAATCAATCCATGAGATTGTGTGACCCTCTTCTAATCTCTTTGGTGAGTAACTTGCTCACACCCAACACAGCTGAAATACACTAGTTACTGCTACACATTAGAATTTCGGGAATTTCCTTTTGAATTTAATCACTGGTGAGTACATGATAATTACCGGTATTGGGTTAGGGAGATTGTTTGATTTTATTAAGATCACGAACCAACCTAGGTTATAAAAACCATTCGAAATCTGGAAGCAAAACATGACTATTTCATGTAACTATGGGACTTTGTTTATAGTGATGTGTTTCTATCTTTTATAATATCTTTCTCCTTGATTCAAATGGGTGAATCAATAAAACCTTTAATGTAAACACTTTTCAATTCATTATAAGGTAACAAACACTGTAGATTAGATTGAAATGAACAGTTAGAAGTGTTAAATTAGCTTCCCTATTAAGAAATTAATTCTTGACACACACGCACACACACAACTCATTTGTCAAGTTAAAGTCTAATCTATATATATATTCTGCAATATCATTAGGTCCTGCTTACTAAACATACATATAGTACATAATATCTAATATTTGATTCTAAAACAATTCGAATTTAATTTAACATGTATTACATAATCTTTTCTTTAATAAACTTAATCAAATGTCATGAATAAATCATCAAAATAATCCGATGATTATTTGTTGTCTACCTCGTGACAATTATCATTTTGCAGTATGGATTATAATTATTAATAATAAAACTGTCATTAAAAATAAAACATTAATGACCCAACTAATCAATATATACAATATATCAGAAGGGGTTTTGTGGAGAGTGTAGTAAATTCAATTGTTGAGACCATGGGTCAATGGAAGTTAAACTACTATGGAAGATCTGGAAACACTAGACGACCGTTTCGTCCCATTGTGAGGCTCCTCAGCAGTGCGCACCCACTCTTTTTAGTTTTATACCATCTGTAAGAAACACTATTGAAATATGTTTCGAAAAAATAATCGGTTGAAAATAAGTGGACATCATATTTTTTGTCTGTTTAAACACATAAACGTTTGTAAAAAGGGTCACCACAGAAAGAAATCACCATGCGATTTGTGAGTGGACTGGGATACAGCCTAGGTGCCTAAACAGAACCAGGCGACTTTCTCAGGGGTTCACACCCATAAGGTGGTGGAACAACTTTAGGAAGTACTGTACCATGGTAGCCGGTGACCAACAATAGGTTTATACACCATTTGTTCCCTCAGGATATTGGAGTCCATGCGCACCATTGGTTTTGAACCAAGGTTTTTTCAACTCCCCCAGCTTGATCCTCAATATCCACCAAAACAATTTGATGTGCGGATATAGGCTTTTCATTCTCTCAATTTCGTAAACAACACCCCTGCCACGAAAAGGCATTAAATAGAACATCCCTGTCAGTGACCATATGAGGGTATTTCGAGAGAGAGAGAGAGAGTGGACCCTCCCCACCCTTGGTCGAACTAAGGCATTTGGAAAAAAGGAAACAATGGTTAGAAAATCAATTAAAGACACAAACTTTAGCTATTAAGTTGTAGAATTAAAATTCAATTAATTTATACATTTATCAAAATTTTGACACGTAACCTAATGACTAAGCCACATTCATTTGTTCTTCGTTCAATATCTCTATGGTATGTACATCGGTCAAATGATAATTAATAATCAATTAACAAGATGTAAACATATTGAGTTAAAATAATAATGAATATATCCAAGTAGAATTACTTCTTTCCTTGTATACACAAGTTAAAACAGGAAACAAAAATAGTACTTGTTAGTATCAAAATAGGGTAATACAATGAAATTTAATTATCACTTAGTTATTAACACAAGTTTATACACTATTGAATTAAATTGAAAAGAAAATCAATAGTTTGAAAATGAACTATCTATATTTTAATGAAAAAAAAGTAGTATCAGACATACGAAATACGAGTGCACAAAATATATCAACCTGATATCAGTCACATATCAATTTTTTGGAAGAATTTCGTTGTGTAGAACCTGAAACAAATTTCTAATCTTACAATAGGGCAATGCATCTTTGTGAACCAAAGGTGTTTTACTTCGAGACTGAACGGAAAACAAATGTCCGATACATTAACCGAGTTGGTCGATATGGAGGATCAATCTAGGGGAGTTAGAAAACCTTGGTTTCAAACCAATCATGCACATGGACTCCAATATCCTGAGAGAACAAATGGCGTATGAACCTATTGCTGGACACTAGCAACCATGGAACAGCACCTCCTAAAGTTGCTCCACAGCCTTGTGGATTAGACCTATAGGCTCCGGGTGTGACTCCCCATGAAAGTCACCTGATCTTGTTTGGGCGCCTGAGCAGTATTCCGACCCTCACACAAACCGAATGATGATTACAACTGAAAGAAACTACCCTCGCTTCAATTCGCGTTCAGGCAAATCAAGTTCACAATCATTCGGTAACATTCGTTATTACTTTTTTACACTACATCACCTGAATAGACCCTTTCATTCTCCTTTTGTGCATTATTTTATTTTTTGACTTATACAGTAGTTTGCCTGTGGTGGAAATTATGTCCTATCTAAACGATTTCAAGTCACTGACTGGTCAGAAGTTGAATGTTACTACCAACTACAAAAACTGAACTAGCCTTTCCGAAACCGCGTATACCATTCAAACTGGCTACCTTCAACGTTCGCTCACTAATGCAGATCGACCGACATATAGGGTTGGTTGTCTTTAGAAAGTCTCAACATTGATGTCTTTTGTCTATCCGAGACCTGTATTCAAAACTCTAGTAAAGCACCACAAATTCGCATTCCATTTGTCGCTTCAAAGGGCTTGTTTCGCGCGCGTTCATCCGGGGACCATGTGGCATCGTCTGATTTTGCTGGCGTTAGTGTTAGTGCGGATCTGTTCCCTGGAGAAAAACTTATCGGTCTTGAGTATGCAAATGATACTGTCTTAGTGTGCGATAATACCCAATCCATGCAATCCGCACTTAGTCAGTTGGCAATTAGTGTCCGTAGGTATGGTATGTGCATCGCACCTTCGAAGTGCAAAGTACTTTTATAAGGCTGTCACGACCCTGAACCTGCGCTCACTCTGGGTAGTGAGCAGATAGAAGTTGTCGAGAAGTTTGTGCACCTGAGTAGCTACATAAGTGATGGTGGTGGCGTGAGTGATGAGATCAATTCACGTATAGTAAAAGCCGGAGAGGCTTACGTCAATGAGGATCATCGTTGGCACTTTCGTGGTTATTCTGGCTGTAAAAGGAGGATCTACAACGCGACCATGAAAGCAATTTTGCTCTATGCATGTGAAGCTTGTCCTCTCAAATTTGAGAATGTTAGACGACTGTGTTTGATCTTTGCTGTCTGCGGAGGACTGATAACATCCAGTGGAAACACCATGTTTGTAATGCATAGGTTCGGCATCGCGTGTTCGGGCACAGAGACGATAATGCAATTGGTGTCACCATCTTGAAACACTGACTTCATTAGCTTGGATATGCCTTACGAATGTCATCCTAGACAGTTCCACATCGTGCCTTATTTGCCGACGCTGGGACTGGTTGGAGAAAGTGGAGAGATGGTCAGTGTAGGAAATGGTGTGGTGGTATGAAAGAAAGCTGTACAGGACTGACGTCTGCCGAACCTTTACGACTTCCTGGTCGGGATCCTAGAGATGGTACAACATGGTGACTTGAGACGTCATCAGAAATGGCTCAGAATAGAAGCCCGTGATGATCCTGTAGTAAATTTATTTTTACTTCCTTCATTAAAGTGAAAGTAACTTCTTTAACTCAAAAAATCCTTTCTAGTTGTATTTTTTCCCAGCTGAACTGTTTCTCCCATTATTATTTCACTCTCATACACTAATTTTTGTTCATTGTTGCTCGTCTTTTCATTATACTCAACCTCCATTCGTTGTTCCTTCACGACCTCATTGTTATTTTGTGGCATATATACATTTGGTACCCCTTGTACCAATGTTTGTGTTCAAATAAATACAATAAACATATGATTGTTCAAGAGTAAACATAAATGGCGTGGTTCAGAAATAAGAAATGAAGTAAAGGACTTGAAAGTATAGAGTCAGTCAGTCAGCAACAACGTAGAACTTCGTACGTCTGTACATCATTTTCAGTTGCCATACCACATTAGCACAGAGATGTAATTGTATAGAGTATCACTGAAGTTCAATGAGGAATGGAAAAAATGCGTCCACCCCACTCCAAGTAATTGTGAGTTTAATCACTTGTCTTCGACCATGAATTTTGATTATCGGACAGACCAAACCTAATTTGCCAAGTAATCTTATTGATAAAGTATTTTAATCTAGTAAAAATGGCTTTTCAAGAAAAAAACATATTTGAAAAAGCAAATGTAAAGATAAACATACTTGTTAATAAAGTTTTCTAGTCCTTTTCGTCGCTCCTCGATGAAATCTTCATCAAATATACCTTTGTCTGCCCGAAAAGGTAACTGGCGTTTCCATGCTTTACTTGGTAATCGAGGAACAACAATCTGTTGAAATACAAAATGAGAACCTAGTTTGGTATATTCCCATTTCAAAACTTGCATACTTTTAAACCATAAATTTAATCATAAACAAGTAGGGAGAACGAGGCTGGGTAGAAGAAAAACGCTGATCCCTATACTTTCTATGTTGTATACCTGTTAAAAATACAGTTGGTGGATTGAGTTTTCATCAGTGATTCAATAAGCGAAAGACGACGGGTTAGCCTACTATACAGTAATCGGTTTAGTTACATTCTATGGTTATGAACGATGCAAGGAATAAAGGCAAGATTAGTAAGGTTTAAATGTAATAGCAAATATGTGTATACATTTCCATTTCTTTTTGAGAAAGGTTTATCTTTAAATTACTAATTAAATTATATTACCTTTTCAGATATCTTCACAAGTACTTAAGGACCTGACTAATATTTTTAACTGAGCGGAAATCTACCTTTCGTACGTAACCTACATTTCACGTGGCACTATAAACTCGGAAGGCGTAGATTTTGATGTTTGTTGTAACACTAGGTATTTGTTGGTCTATTATTAGCACGTTTATTGCATCGAAGAATAACTTTTGTTTGTAGAACACTTAACGGAATTTTGAATTCTATGTGACAAGCACACCAACAACTCCATCCCAAATAAAAACATGAGGAAATGAATTATTCCTGAAATATATATATATATACATGTAATACATAATCTTATTTATAGCGCACCGAATTTTCGAACTATGGGTACGCTTACATATAGGTTTTATTACGTTTAGACAAGATAGAACCACTTCGATGACGTTAAAAGACTTTGATTGCATGTTCATCTTATACTGTCTTCTAAGAATCACTTATTTCCGCGCGCAACGCCTGTGTGCGACGACAGACACGTTGACGTAGAGAAGTGGCGCAACCGTCTTAGAATTGCGTCATGTTTGCGAAATAAACTACGAATCAAAGAGAGACGTTTAATGTGCTGAGAAAGTTCAAGATAGTTTTCAATTGAGTTCATACATTTAACCAGAAATCTTGAGGGATTTTTGGGGTTTAATCGAAGGACTTAAATGGACTTCTCCAAAGTAATTGAGAATCCTGGAGAAAAAATCCGGACCAGATGAAATTTCCAGGCATTTAGCCAAAACCCACTAAAGTTTTCTGTTAGAGTTCCCTCAAAAAAAATCGATAAAAATCCACCCCAAAATCGACAGGTGGATTAAATAGATAAGCTACATACCTTGCTTTCACGGTCTAGTTCGTCACGAAGCCATTTGAAATCACTATACCTCCGACGAACCGAAGACTCTTTGTGTGCAAATATAGGTAAATTTGTCTACAGAAAACTACGATGACTACAGAAATTTACGTACTCTAAGACTAACTTCATAGTCTGTGAAGCGGTCTTTACCATCCTCGTGAGTGAGAGGGTTGCACACATCAATCTCTAAGAAATTTGCTGGTGGTGAATAAGCATCTTCAATTGTTTGCCTTCTAGGGACCAACCTTTGAGTTGCAGAAGCTACGGTTGCGGGTGACTCAAGCATACCGCGATTTTGAAAAACTGACTGTAGAAACCGAAAAGAGCGATTCAATTGTTTCAAAATTCTATTTTCGTTCTCTATCTAGCCTATTAGAAACACTTGACGTTTCGAAATTTCTGATCTGCTAGTTATCTACTTTTAGTTCGTAAACTGTTCAGATTATACTTAGTCTTCATATTCCACCTATCGGTCAGCTGCCCTATATACCATTCTTCCTAGACGTCATCTTCTTCCTCCCTCAGCTATACAGTATCCAAAGTCTCAATAAAATGACAAAAGCTGCATTTCTAGGTCTGGTACTTTAGGCGTAATTAATATGTTCTGTGGCTGGAAGTAGGGGTCACTGCATGGAAGAACACTATCGACTATCGATACCAAAATAAACGAATAAATACAAACTTATTGATAAAGATCGCAACGTTCAGATGCTCGCACATGATAACAGTTGTTCATCAGTTAACATTCAGCGACGATGTCGAAAAATTAATAGCGAAAGTGAAAACCTATGGTACATTCTCTTGGTATTATTTCGTAAGTCACAATATTCGTGAACACCATGAGCAACCCTTCGCACGACAAGCGATAAGACCTAAATCTTAGAACCATCTGATCTCATAATTTAATGAGGGATTAAATTATAATCCAGCAATTCCTCTTTTATAAATTGCAGATCATTAGCGTCTGAGAAATAGGGCCGAGGCGAAATGGTTCAAATTGTGGTTCAAATGGTTGCGGACAGAATAGAAGAAGCTTTCGCTTAACAGGCTTCCGTGTCTAGTATCAGGGGATCACAAAAACCTTTAGGAAGGAACCTAGGTATGTTAACAATAAAAGAGGAAAAGAAAATAGTAAATCATAGTGTGATACTATCCTTAGTCCTTAAGTATAGATCAAGTTGCCTCTTAAAGGACTCCTGGGAAGTCTCTTAGACTAGCTCGGCCGGCAGCGAATTCCAGCATTTGACAACTCTTAAGGAGTAGAAGTTGTTGTGTCTCCAGTTTTTGGGTGTCACCCCATAGGTTATTGTTGGAACCAAGCTTAAGTAGGTGTTTGAGAGGATGTCCATAAGTGTTAAGGCTACTCTAAGCCATCAGAAGGTCACCTCTAAGACGTCTATACTCTAATGGACAAAGGTTAAGTGATTGGAGGTGCTCTTCATAAGGTTTGAATTTGAGTCCTGATTTCGTGGCTCGCCGTCGGATACGCTCCAGGGTGTCCTTATCCTTTTGGAGTGAGGGAGGAAATGCTATGTTTCCGTACTCTAAATGGGGACGAATAAAACTATTGAAGATAATATGGAAAGTTCCTCCATCAAGCTGACCAAAAGTGCGCTTCAATGTTACCAGTGCAAGGTTTGCTCGCAAGGCATTTTTGTAACAGTGAGCATAAGACTTTAAATCGAAAGGCACCAGGACTCGTAAATCTTTTTCGACTCGGGATACTATTAGAGAGGAGTTTCCTAAGTTATAACTGTAGTCTGCGACATGTCGCAGATGGACTACTTTACACTATGAAGTGTTAAATGTAAGTCCGTTATCGTATGCCCAACTTTGAGGTCGAGTCGGATCCTCCTGAAGTGCCTGTATATCGTCTTTTTTGCGTATCTCTCTCCAAGGTTTCACATCGTCGGCAAAAAGTAATAAGTCTGACGTTACGTGATGAGGAAGATAATTTATATAGGTCAAGAAGAGAAAAAGTCCCAGTACTGAGCCCTGGGGGACCCCACTAGAACATTCCATAGCCTGACATAAAGTGAAATTAACCCTGACCCTAAAATGTCGATTTTTCAGGTATGAAGTGAGCCAATCGATTAGAGGTGGTCTGATACCCAATTGTTTGAGCTTATTGATAGGACATGTGTGGTTAACCTGATCAAAAGCTTTTGAGAAATCTAGGTAGATGATATCAACCTTCCCCTTGTGACCGAGGATGCTTGTCCAACTGTCCACCGCAGTCAGCAGATTGGTTATACAAGAGTAACACTTCCTGAAACCATGCTGTTGGGGTGAGAAGAAATTTAAGGACAGTAAATAGCCATATATACCATCGCATACCAGGGACGCCATAATATTTTTATGGTATTGAGAGAAGAGCCACCGGTCGGTAACTTGAAGGTTCGCTGCGTCGACCTCCTTTGAAAACTGGTGTGATGTGAGCCAGCTTCCAATTTTTCGGTAATTTGCCTCGGCTTAGCGAGTGTGAGAACATCACGCTAAGCGGCGTTGCCAGGATTGAGGCTGCTTCCCTCAGTATGGTAGAATGAACCATATCCGGGCCAGGAGAAGTGTCAAGTCTTAAGTGCAGCAATTTCCGGAACACCAAGTCAGCGCTTAGGTCCACTTCGGAAAGTCCTGTGGAATTGCAGGGGAAACTGCCGTCAGTAAAGTTGATGTCGGCCGGTTGAAATGTCTGAGAGTAATGTGCCGCCAGAAGGTTAGCGGCGTCGACATCGTTGTTGGTCGGGCCGTTAAGACCTAGCAGTTGAGAAACTCTTGTTTTGGCTTGACGAAGAGAGGCTGCATAACGAAATAGGCTTCTAGGGTTAGAAGCGAATTTGTCCATAAGCTTCGTCTGGTACTGAAGCCTGTCTTCTCTTATAGCCTTCGTGCATATGTTCCTTATATGTTTGTATTGCCTGTACGCTCCGTTGTTGTCAATTCGTTTGCACTCAGTCCAACAGTGCCTTTTGCGGCTTAACAGGCGAAGAGTGCGGTTCCTGATGATTGTGGGTAGCTGATAGCTATGGGGGACCGTTTGAGGAACTGAATGATTTGTAGCACATATGAGCGTGTGCAGTAAGAAGTCCCAATGAGCATCCACATCGAGTTGGGGATGAACATCTCAATCCACCTGTTGTAGATAGTCCTGTAGAGCTGACACATTCAACCGTTTGAAATTCCAGCGCAAGTTGTTGGTGGGATATCTTAGCTCAGTTTTGCTGACGAAGCTAAAGGTTATAACGGCGTGATCGCTTTTTCCTATGGGAGCCAGGATTGAGGGGTTGTCAACTAGGAATTCTTCGTTTGTAAATACACAGTCTAAGCGCGATGGTTTCTGACCGTTTTTCCAACGAGTTGCCGACTTTACATTTTCGTAAAAACCCAAGTCCTCAATGAGGTTGAAGAACAGAGCTTGTTTTGTTTTATTAAATTTAATAAACCCCAAAACAAACAAAGATGGGTAGTGGCCTACAGTGGAATCTAGGACGTGCCTTTCGTCCTATTTGGGACTCGTCAGCTGGATGTATCTGCATCTCAGAGTTGATGCTCACTCTGGGACTCGCTTCAAACGCCATCGCAATATCCACCTAGCCACGGAGTCCTGATAACCACTTGCTTGTGCAATGAATTATATCTTATAAAAACTCAAACCAATTTTTAGCCTAATATTTTTCTATTTTTAAGTATTCCTGAATATTGTGCTTCGCGAAGGGTAGCTGTTTATATTAGCCTCCCGGAAGAACCCAACACAATGCCATTGATTGAAAAGGCACTTCTTGATAAAAAGAGTATATTTGTTCCGCAAATTATGTTTTCTGAGTCAGACAATTCTCCTATGTCTATGCGTCATGATAAATCACTAAAAGAGATTGAATTCTGGAAGTCTAATGGGAAGATTTAAGTAATTAATATCGAGTGAATTAAACCCCAAGATAGTTTTATAAGTCTTGGACGTTTATTTTTACCTCATTGATTTTACTGGACTCGCTCTAACTGATGGCGCTCAGTAGAGCATATTAACTAGATCATCAATGAAGTACGCCATACTGTGCATCCCTACCAATAAATTAAATCCGAAGACGAATTCATTACATTTGCTGATTGGTTTCTACAGAACACCGGAACTCCCGGTACCAGAGTTTGTTCTATTGAGGAAAAACCTCAAACGATACAAAACAAAATCTCAGATACCTGTAATGTGTCACTGGTTTCCTTGGTGTTCACCATGATGCCAAAATGATCCAAAACTTCACAAACAATTTCACTATAAAAGATATCGATTTCTGGACCACGAAGAACGGATACCTTGATTAATGCCAACACTGCAACACCTACGGTAAATCTTCTAGAAACTGCAGGAAATCCCGAAGTTTCTCTGACCTCAGACTTTACATCGGGACAAACATTCAGACACGTGTTAACGACACCTCGTCGAAAATTTTGATGTTAGTGTCCCCACCGCGAATACTAACGGTCTTCCACAATGTTTAGTCTTCAGTTCACATGTGACAAACGGAAAACTGACTGTCAATTACAGTAACATGTACGTTTACATTGACGTGGGTTTACGTAAACTCATTCAGGAGATCTTCGTTGTTGCAGATGTATCACTGTCAATCATCGGCATAGACCTGCCACAACACCACTATCTAATCATCGACCTGAGAAAACGGTGACTATTTGACAGTTTTACTAACCTATCTGCTTGAGGAGTATCATTTTATGATTGAAGATTGTGCGCCGTCAAAACTATACATAGAATGGACCATACTTACGACATGATCGCAACTACCGTGTCCGACCGACAATATTACACATCACATCACGATGGCAGGACTGTGTTCTCTGAAGCGTTCTGGATAGCTTTCGAAAGCTTGGGACTGGTTGAAAGCGAATTATATAGTATGACAGATTTTGGAAATATCATGCCACCAGAGTCATTTTTTCGAAAATCGGCCCAGTTGAGCCATACAACCAAGATCCGACGCTGAGAACAACACCTCCAAAACGTCTGTCTTTACTCTTTTCGCGCTACGAGAACATTAACTTATGCCTTTTGGTTCAAGAAACGCCGCCCTAACTTTCAAAGGTTGATGGCGTGTTCACAGGTCTGAAATTTGCGCACACCAATTTTGATAACTGCTTAATTTTAAGTTCCGACAGACAATCCCAGCTCAGTATCTGAACTTTGTTTGCCAATGATTCCAAAAACACGGCACTGCTGTAATCATTCAGTAATGTAAGATCGGAACGAACTCACTCTATTTCCCGTGGAATAACACT